AGAGGTACACAATGAATACATTTGCTGTTTGGATTGTGATGACATCTGTAAAATATGCAGCATGATTATATTAAATGCTTCATTCTTTGCAGCTACAAAAAGATCAACTTGTAACTTGATCTATCAAAGTAGCAAATTATACTGATTTGTTTTAGTCGGCATCAATACATGAAGTACAGTGTTGAGCAGGCAGCAAATAATTTACCCCAAGCAAAATTACTAGCTGCTGACACATTTTTATAGCAGAGCTCCGGCAGCGCAAAGGTCTGCCACGTAAAGCAGCATACTCATAGGAACTCCTGAATTACTTTTCTTATGGTCATCATGGCCAGCTGAATTGCTCGTGGGTATGTATGCCTGACGACAATGACGATGAAGATATTGATGACGAGGACCATGATGACCAAGTCACACAACATGGCGGCCATACTCCAGCTAATAGGTCGACCAGGGCATGCAGCCTTGGTTTACAGAGTACATCTTTGATATTGGAAATCCATGTTATGGTCAATTGACACCTGTCAAGTATCCACTGACCAGTATCACGTGACCATATCAATGGCTCAAGTTTGGAGCTTATCGAAGTTGATCACTGCCCAGGTACTGATTTTCAATTGGACCACAGGCCCAAGCCAGGTTACCTTATTGTAATCAGGAGCTCCATTTTTGAGCTTGGCTAAATCTATATTATACTAGGACAGAGTGCACTAACCAGTTGGCTACCCCAATTCCCAACTTTACACATGTGGCTCTTATCGAGTAATAAGACAGTAATATGGTAGAGATCACTTCTTGCAGAGCACTGAAAACTTTTATCACCCTACGACTATTCTTTCAAGACTTCCTACTTACAGCTGAGGATCTCGTTCTCTATGGATTAGACCATTTTGCTTGGAAAGAAAACTATCTATTTCATCTTCCTTGACATTATTAGATGAGGTAAGGTGAGCTGAATTTGCTGGCACCTCTTTATCAGCTGCTGAAATTTCCTGAGACAAGAAAAGCATATCACCATGCCTGACAAGAAAAAAGGAAAAAGGTTAGTAAAGAATTTATCTCATGCCTTGAGAACTATAGCCAATAGCCTCTACAAGTACTTGACAATTCTTTTTCAACAAAACAAGTCATGTAAACTCATGCCCCAAAACTTTTTTGTCAGAGTCCCCGATCCTTTCCGGGCTCAATCTGTACTGTCATGACAGTACTACATAATTACAGTCGAACCTCAATTATCTGTACTTCGATTATCCAAATTTCTCGATTTTCCGGACTTTTTCTTCAGTCCCAATTATGCCACGAATATTTGTTAGTCATGATCAAGATCCGTAGCCATATTCTTGTTAAAACTACAGCATTGAAAAGTGCAGTCAAAAGCAAATTTGTTTTGCTTTCAAATTTAAGAGTAAAAGCAGTACTGTGTAATACATCTATAAAGGTATTCACAATGGACAGTGAAGTTGTAGACCATATTGTTTTCCAAACAATTTGTAAAAGTGTTGTTTCATGTTTAACTGTTGCTTTCTTAATTTAATTAGTTTTGTTCTTCATTAATATTCATGTTTTTGATTATCCAGACCCTCGGTTATCCGGACTGTTTCGTCTAGTCCCAACAAGCCCAGATAATCGAGGTTTGATTCTATATATCTATACACCTGTACATGTATATCCTATAAAACTTCTCACAAAAAGGATGCAAGGGATATATTCTATTACATGACGTATGAGCTGCAGAGATTTGTATTTGACTAAAGAGATTACTAATTACATGTATATGTTCAACATACTTTATTCCAAGTGAAGACAGAGTCTTCCTTGTAGAGGTCTTAATCTCTCCCTTTTTGTCTCTATTTTGAAATAGGGTCCATCCTCTTCTTGGAAGGGCAAGCTCTTCTGCAACCTAACCAATCAAATTTACACTCTTGAGTGCATGGTACACAAATTGATTCCTCTAGATGGCTAAACCAGGCAGGCAAGAATATCCTCACAGCTGGTCAATTTTCCTGTTACCCAGCTCTTAATGAAACCCCCGACGCTGACCTTTTAGTTAATAGACTTGTCAAAGATTTCATGAGGAAAGTAGATGTCTCATTTCATTGACAAGACCCTGGGCATGTTAATGCTACCAACCTCCTGCCATCCTCAAGGATTGGCTGAGGGGCGACAACCCTCAGGATGGATGCTGATAACTGCATTACGATTTAAAAACCTGTCATCAGCATTCTAAGGTCATATCAAGTTTGCCCAGTGGGTCAACAAAATGCTTAACTGAATGTCTGATCACAAATGCTATCAAATTGTTGAGATCAGCAGTTACAGCTTCATTTTGAAAACTGCAGCAAATACCGTCCAAACAACAGTACAAATATACAGCAATATTGTACAGATATTTGTACAGTAGAAAACCTGTATGCCGTACTGGTTGGAGCATGCATGCAAAACTCTCACACTCTCCCTCTTTCATTGATAAATTTATTGACTACAGTAGTTGGATAATAAATCTCTAATTAGGTGTTTTGGTGTGTAGTATCGCTTTATATTTTTACTTGTTGTTTGTATTTTGACTCGCCCTGCTGGCTTGTCAAAATACGGCACAACTCGTAAAAATATACAGCAATACTACACACCAAAACATCTAGTAAGATATATATATTGAAAACTGCATGGGAAATAAAAGTCATCGTCT